TTGAATACAAATTTCTTTCTTGGGTTTGCCTAGTTAGAGAAAACAGCTAAGTTAAAGTACTTGATAATAAGAAAATTTTCCATGAGGGAAACAAATGTTAAACGATTTATTAATTTGTAAATGACTCCTCATTAGGAGGGTTAAATACAACTTTCTTGCTAAAATAATCTACAGTGGCGTGATACGCCGCTAGCCAATTCATTCCTAAAATTACATCAAAGTCCCCTGTGTCAATTTCTATTATGTCTACGCTCAATTTCCTATCTGCTATATCTATGACACAAGCCCTGTATACAACCTCCCCCAGTAATGTCCTACTCCCAGGAATAGACACAAATAACATAGAATCAAGTTTTCCAAGTGATATATCAAATTTTAATACAAAAACATGTAAAACAAATGAATGCGATACACCAGTATTGATAATAAGAAAATTTGCTATGAGGGAAGCAAGTGTTAAATGATTTTATTAATTTGTAAATGACTCCTCATTAAAAGGGTTGAAGACAACCTTCTTACTAAAACAATCTACAGTGGCGTGATACACCGCTAGCCAATTCATTTCTAAAATTATATCAAATTCTCCTGTGTCAATTTCTATTAGGTTTACGCTCAATTTCTTATCTGCTATATCTATGACACAAGCTCTGTATACAACCTCCCCCAGTAGTATTCTACTCCTGGAAGTAGATACAAATAATACATAATCAAATTTTTCATGTGATATATCAAATTTTGATGCAATAACATGTGAAACAAATGAATGCGATGCACCAGTATCAATCAAGATATGAGCAAGATAGTTACATATAGTATACATACCTTGTACCACGTCCGGGTTGGCTTCTGCATCCTACTGAGTGATATTGTAAGCCCCGTCCTGAATAGAAGGTCTGGCCTGATTCTGGTTCCTCGGGCACTCCCTTGCATAATGTTGGGCGCTACCACATATGCGGCAAGTGTTATTGAGGAGATAGCAGGGTCGGTCTCCATGATACTTGCCACAATACTGACAGATCTTGCCACGTCCTGCTGCTGGAACCTGAGGGGGAGCCTGAATCATTGACCTGGGTTTCTTGTTCTGTTGAACAGGTGCAATAGGTGCTGATCTACGGTGTGGAGCTGAGGGCCTGAGGTTCCCTGTTGCTAGAGGGAAAATGCGAAGGCTCATCTCCGCTAACTGTGCCTTAGCCAGAACAGCCGAATAAGTGTTGAGCTCGAACACAAACAACTGCTGTCTGATCTCAGGACGAAGACCCCACTCGAACCTTCTAGCCTTCCTGCCTTCGTCCATCATGCTCTCAGGAGAATATCGACCCAACTTCAGGAACTTACGAGCATATTCAGATACAGTCATGTCCCCCTGGACCAAGTGTGCAAACTCCATCTCTTTCAGATGTCGGAGATGCTCTGGAAGGTACTCTGCATGAAAGGCCGTCAGGAACTGTTCCCAAGTGACTGGAAAGGGTAGAGTGGCCTTCTTGAGTTGCCACCAGTGATTTGCTTCTCCCACTAGCATGTAGGTAGCAAGGATGACCTTATATTCGGGGATCACCCCGAGGATCTTGAAGGCCTTCTTTGTCTCAAATAACCAGAACTCGGCCTCTTCAAAGGAGGATCCCCCTGCAAAAGTAGAAGAATTTAGTCTTTTATACCTTTCTATGTAGCTTGGATCCATCGTAAGAGGAGCTAGGTCCTGTGGATGAGGGATTGGGCAGGGCTGATGATGGACTGGAGGACCCTGCAGTGGTACTTGATGATACGGTGGAGGCACCGGATTGTACTGTGATGGTGCCGGATGACGCGGTGGCTGGGGCACCGGATCATACTGTGGTGGTACCGAGTGGTACTGTGGAGGAGCAAGGTCATTTCGGGGTGGATCGGGATCTTTTCGCTGCAGGGATGGCTCAACCTGTGGCAACGAAGTAGGGTGAGGTAACTCCCTCCTTTCCTCCCGGGTCTGCTGGGCAGCAATAAGTCTTTCCACAATCTCAAATAACCGGTCTACATTCTCTCTAAGTGAACCCTCCCGGGCTACTCGGTTTAGTGGGGGTCTTTCTCTCTTCATCTATCTGTACCTGCATTTCACAAGGAAATGTTGAGTAACAATTCATTGTTTTCAGTGTTTCGTAAGGATTTTGTATAAGGAATGGGTTCAAGAAATGCGGCTCTGATACCAACTGTAACAACCTCAAAAATATTCAAAAAAAATAAATGACAATTAAAGTGCGGAAGCGAAATAAATATTCAAGATTTACATTCCTTACAAAATAACTTAAAATACCAATTAGTGTTACGGAATTCACCCTTTTGAAAAAAATACAAAAAAAAAAAGAAATGAACGGAAAATAAAGAAAATTAGCATTCTACTCACAACCCTCTTGCGTATTAGGGTCTGGATCCTGTTCTTTTTTATCTAAAATGGTTAAATAAGGAATGAACTACACTAATTTAGTAAGAATATCACACTATATCACCGACACAGAAATAAAGTTTTGTAGAAAAAAACCAGAAAACAACTAATTGAGCACTAAATTAAGCAAATTCATTTATCAATAATAAAACTATTTACCGTCCACTTACCGTAGTGAGATTTATATAAAACAACTTATAAAAAACAATAACATTATATGTATCATGATTCCGTATATAATTGGCAACATAGCACATATTATACTTTCATATTCAAATCATCAAACAACCATTGTCCATTTTTCCACCAACCTGCTGGTATCCATGGGGGTTCATAGGAGTGTTCTCGCTACGCGTGAACCTTTTCCTTTAACATTCCCAATTACGGGTTATCCCCATACTCCGTCCGGTATGAGCGTCAAATTACCAAACTTCAATACCCCGTCCGGTATGAGCACCAAGTTATCAAGTCTCCATAACCCATTCGGTATGAGACACGTTTACGGTAAGATTCCCTGTGTACCCAGTCCATTCACCATCTCCCAAGATATCCAATAAGACTGCTGTTTCATCTAGTCACTTAATCACACAAGTTTTCCGTTTACCTTTAACTTCCATTTTTTCAATTCAACCGTAAACACGTAAAATAATACATGCATTCAAAACTATAAAATAAATCAATAAGGCACTATAATGCATTTACACTGTAAAAACAATCAACAAAAATCAACAGAAAATAGTTTCAGGTTCTGTCTCCATTAGCAATCTATAATTAATCATGAATATTTTCTAAATTTTACAAAATACCGTATTTATAGTTAATTAAATTTTAATTCTATAACAGTGAATAGGGTGAGCGATTCTTACTCAATTTGATACTCGAAAGGCTAAACTGTTGGCTGCATCTACTGGCAGTCCTTGGGTTCCTTGAATTTTTCTTTGAGAATCAAAACGTACTATAAGTACCTACAAATGTCCCAAACAAACCCTAATCAGTCTCAGGGCCTATTTTGCGCATTTTTGGAATTCCGGCACGGCGGCTCCGCCGTGCTCCGGTGACGGCACCGCCACCCGCAACGGCAATCCGCCTCGGGTCGGTTGTTTTCAGCTGGATTCGGCCGATTTCGCATCAATCCCTGCGAGAAAACATGTTAAGGGATCTCGGTTGGCCCAAAAAACCGAAACTCACCGGTGGCGGGGCTCTCCGGTACAGCACCACCTCCCCCACCCCTAGTGCAAGCCCTAGCGAGTTACTTGCAGCATAAGAGACTGCTAGTCCCAAAGAGCAAGGAGACTGAGAGCTCTTTCCACACTCTAAACCACCTCAACATGGTCTTGGGCTCCAATACTTCTAGAGCGGATATTGCAGTCTTCAAATGAAGCAACCCCAGCACATGGTTGAGGCGTTGCAACAAGTATTTTCAGCTCTATGATGTTGGGTTATTGCACACAGTCACAACCCTTTTCCCTTCCCTGTATTGCTAGTAAAAAAGAACAATGAAAGTTGAGGGTTTTGTGTAAACTACAGGCAGCTCAATGTCATAACCATTAAGGATCAGTTTCATATTCCAGTAGTTGATGATATTTTGGATGAGCTGCAAGAAAGGTCAATCTTTTCCAAGATTGACTTGAAGTCTGGCTACCATTAAACTCGAATGAGGCCAGAAGACTATTGAAGAAAGAAAAAAGGAGAACCTCACCGCCAAGGTCTTAAGAGGATTCCTAGGCCTGACCGGTTATTACAGGAAATTAAGGGTTATGGTTCATTAGCAAACCCTAAACACCAGTGAAGAAAAACAATTTCATTAAGATGAAAAACCAGAGAAGGTGTTCCAGAACCTCAAGGTCACCATGACAACAGCCCGTGTCCTTGCATTGCCAAACTTTTCTCAGCCATTTACCCTGGCGACCGATGCCAGCATAAAGGAATTGGGACGATGCTTATGCATAACGACAGATCCATAGCCTTCCTAAGCAAGATTTTGAGCCCTAAACATCAATCTTTCTCCATCTACGAGAAAGAAATACTGGCAATCCTCATGGCAATCACCAAAAATTACCTGAAAATGTCACCCTTCATCATAAGAACTGACCAACAAAGCATCAAACATCAGGAGATATACATGGTGATTTAGAAGAAAGGAATCATCAAGCTTTTGGGACTACACTACACCATTCAATACAAAAAAAAGGCGGGAGAACAAGGCAGCAGACGCCCTGTCCAGGAGGGACTCAGAAGATATAGGACTCTTAAGCTATCGGTTTTCTTGAATTGTAAAACACTTTAGTGGCCGCCTCTCTCCTTTCAAAATTTGGCCCAGGACTTCCTTCTTCACGAATCCATCCCTTAACATAAATTTTAAAGTCTTCCTTGAATCTATTGGCTCATGATACAATGAGATTCCATCCATAAAACTCAAGTGAATCTTGAATTGTGTGAAACCCAAGATCGATAATGCAATCCGAACATATACAATTAGTATAGAAACTTCATCTCTAAATAAATCATTTCTACTTAAAAATAATTAGGAAAAACACAAGAAATGATTAAAATGTAACAAGAGTTATCTTAATAATTAGAAACTAATTCTCTACTCAACAAGAAGGTTGAAGAACCATCACAAGTTGACAAGCTAACCGTTGGTTATAAAACTAGCAAACTTTGTATTTTATTGATTGAAACTTGAATGATTACAACTGAATACATGAAGCCTATTTACAGATATAGGCCATGAGACTTCAACTAGAATTAGAACTCCTAAATGAACTCTAATGTTTATCTATTTCAAAATAGAGACCATTGTCAAGCACTCAACTCCAAGAATAAAGATCAAGGATATGGCCGGCTAAGGGAAGAGAGAAGAGCCCATTCTTATGTAATTTAGCATATTTTATTTATTGTTTTTAAGAATCCTAGATAAGCATTAGAGACAAGCATCTTAAATCATTCAGGAATTCAATTTCTATACAATTAGCATAGAAACTTAATTATTAAATAAGTCTTCTTTACTTAACTCACAATCAATTTATGATCGAAATAAGGTAATTGGCATAAAAGATAGTTGAATTGATTAAAATACCACAAGAATATCTTAATAAGTTGAAAGCAATTAGCTTGACTGAAACTAAGTTAATTGGGAAAAATAATAAGAATTGATAAAACGTTACAAAAATTTTGATAAATAGAATCAATTCTTTACTCAACAAGAAGATTGAAGAAAACTTCACAAGTTGACAAGCAAGCTATCATCTGTTGTTTTAAGTGATCAAATTAATCTCTTACTCAAAAAAAAAATTAAAGATACAAAACCGATCATCCATCATTCAAATCGGCTCATCCTTGTCGCTTGTTCAATTACTTGTTTCATCATATCTCTTTTGATTGATCAAGCTAACTTTGTCTTATTATTCCAAGTTTTGAAACTTCCACCACATCAAGGTGAGTGTCTACATTCTTTCCACATTAAAGTCAACATGCATCCATTCATACACGTCACATTAGCATTAAAACTAAATCATCACATTAGAGTGTAGCTTTAATTGGGTTTAGTATCCAGGTTGTATCTTCAGTTTCTCCTTAGGGATTAAGTCGAATGTATCACAACATATCCATATTGTCTTTCTTGTTCTCTAAGTTTCTTTCTTTCATTGTGTGCTTGTTCCTATTACATCACTAAGTAACTAATTGTTTCCTAGTTACTTAGCATAAAACATAAACACACACACTCTTCATCCGTGTGTTTAAACTCTTTGCTTCTAGAATTGGGTTACAATTTTCTTTTTCTAGAGAAATTCCTTCATGAAGCAAAACTTGATCACCTTACTTCAAGATGATCTAATTCCAGCATTCAACTTGAAGGAGATTGAGGTAAAAAGCTTGAGGGAGTGAACTCAAAAGAGAGTAAGCCCAAATTTTGACTGAAACATGAGGAAAAATACGTGAGGGAGTGTTATTTTCTTTCTAATTTTTTCTTGTAGGATTGCTCACAATGTCTCAACCTGGTGAAAATAATTCTTCAATCAATATAAAGCTCTACAATGAGGTCATGCATAAAGGCTTTACAAAAATTAGTAGGTTACAGGAGATATACAAGCAGAGACGGAGGAAGTAAAGCAAATAACCTCCAGTCCATCAAGGGCCAGGAGCCGAATCTAAAGGGAGAAAGTCGAGTCATTTGATGATAATGATGTAGAGGTAGAACGAATCAATCGGAGGGAAGATAGAAGAGACAGCAACTTAAACTCTAAAGATGAAGATTCCACCTTTCAAGAGACGAAATGATGCTAAAAGTTACCAAAGAGTAGAAACAAAAGGTAGAGCTTGTTTTTTACTGTCATAATTACACTGAAGAGAAGGTCAAGCTGGTCGCAGTTGAATTTACTAACAATGCTTTAGTTTGGTGGGATCAACTCTTAACTAGTAGGAGTGCAACGGAGAAAGATCTATCCCAGCATGGCAGGAGATGAAGGTCATTATGAGAAAAATGCCTGTGCCTTCCTATTACTACTGAGAAATGCACTAAAATTTGCAGCACCTAATCCAAGGATCCATGCATGTGGAAGATTATTATATGGAGATGGATATGGCAATGGTTAGGAGCAACATGGAGGAAGATCCTGAAGCCACAATGGCAGGTTCTTGAGTGGCCTAAATAGAGAAATTGTCAAACATTCGAGCTGCAGCACTATTTAGTTGGAGGACATGGTATACATAGCCATGAAGATCGAGAAACAGCTAAAGCACATAGGGGCAGCATGGGGATTGTCAAATTCCAACCCTAATTATAGCTCTAGGTGGCCAAGAAAAGAGGAGAAAAATGGGGCTGATGTGAAGAAAGAAAAGCATAGCAATGTTAAATGTTTCAGACGTTTAGGATCCCAGTGTCCTAACAAAAAGATCATGTTAATAAGAGATGATGGTGAAATTGATAGTGGAGCGTAGTAGATAGAAACATTCAGGAATTTCTTGGTTGGAAATCATTCAACAAGACACGTTTCATCATCCAACCTAAACTGACTTCTTAATATCTTAAAAGGTTAAATGAAAACCAAAGCATCGTGCGAGAGGAGACAAGCCTACTCAAAATTAGGCTAAAATGCTATAGCCACTTGAACTGAAAATCATTCAACAAAACATGCACAGAACAGAATTTCGAAGTAAGTAAAAAAAATATGTAACAACTTAGAAACTCAAGCCTCATTCGGCCATTCACGCTAGATAGAAACATTCAGGAATTTCTTTATCATTTAATCAAACAAGACACGGTATTAAGAATATACCCTTGGTGGCCACCAAAACGCTCGGCTTTTTCCTCCTCTGGCTTCTCCCTCTTCGCGAGCTCTCCTTCTCTCTTCAGGTTCTCTTCCTTCCAGCTCCTCACTTCGCCAATTAATAGTGTCTTCGTTTACTCTCTCTTTTTTTCTCACTCTGCACCCTCCACTTTCTTCCTCCTTCACGAGCAATCTCTCTCTCTGTCCCTTCGGGTCCCCCTCCCACGTCAAGCTTCGGGATCCGCCTTTTGTAGGCGAAGGGAGATGAGGCTTCTCGCTGAAAAACCTCTCGGAATATCAAACGAAGATATCTATCCTCATCTGCGCTTATATTCTCCTTCCCTTAGAACCGTGCACGTTTCTCCCTCCCTCTCTCTCTTCTGTCTTAGCCGCCATGCAGGCTACCCTTCTTCTTCTGGAACAACCAGGACCCTCAGGGTTCCTCTGTCTCAATCGAAACGACGTCGTCCCCTTCAGTACTTGAAACGGCCTCGTTTCATTCCATTTTTTCGTTTTTTAAATTGCTCGGCTGGAAACGGCGCTGGGCCTTGGTGCTGCTATCGTGCGGGTTCATTTTTTAATCTTTTAAGAGCAATCTATTTTAAATTAAAAAATAAAGGTTATTTGATTTGAATTAAACACAAAACCCATTTAAATTCAAATCCTATTATAAATTAAGCCCAATTAGTCTAATTAATCCGAAACAAACCCGTTCAACAACCTAGCCCATGGAGGAAACGGCGCCGTTTTAACATTCTTCGTTTCCAGACTTCATTTAGGGCTTTATTTTGAGGGAAAAATACCAGAGAGGAGCGAGCGTGATAGCAGAAACGAAAGAGAAGGGATTCTGGCTTTCATCTTCTTTTCTTTCTCCCCTGAAAAGGAGAGGTGGAAGTGAGCTTTTTCGGTTCTGTTGAGTGAAAAACAGAGAGGAATAAACAGTGACGAAAATCAAGAAAGGAAGAGGGAAGAAGTAGTCCGAGTTCGACAATCCCAGTACTTGGTATATTTAATTTCTCATATTTCTTTTTTTTTTTTTGTATTCTACTTGTTGCTCGAGTATGGTAATTTGGGAATAATTTATGCGAAGGATGTTATTTAATTATATTATGAAGCACTTTTCCCTCTTCGCTCATGTATACACTGAGAACCATGCACGAAGCTTCAATATATGTTGAGCTTTTCTTTGTAAAGTATCAAATTTTTTATGGGTGAAAAATTTTGTTTCCTTTTCTATTTTTAGGGAAGTATTAATCTGATGTGATCATTTGATACTGGGTTCAAGTCTTTTAACCATAATTCCCTTGTCTTAAGGAATGGGCATCAGTTGGGATCATATAAGAATACTAGTTGGTCTTGAAATTGGTTTGAGGACGATCATCACAAAAACCAGCCATGCAACTGAAAGTCAATGGGTACTCCAGAGATAGTGAGTCTGAAGCTGGCGGGCCTGAGCCCCAATGTCTACAAGTTTTGGCATAGTTGTGTGGCGTCGGGCAATAGAAAAGAACCGAAGAAGTGTTAGTGAGAAGCTCTGTATGGGATCTGGAGGAAGGTGCGAGATCCAGGAGAGGATCAATGGCGAAGAGTTTATGTTGGAGAGGATGGTTGGGTTGGGTTGGGTTGGGTTGGGGTGGGGTGGGGTGGGGTGCAGGGTTCTGACCAATTGAGATCTGAGAAGTAAGGCAAGCCTTGTTGCCATCAGATTTTCTCGGGAAAATGACAGGAAACATCCAGAAAAAGAGTTACTAAATCAAAAACTCACCTCACGGAGACGAGGATTTTGAGCATGTATGTGAATTTCACAGTAACATGATGAGAGAAATTGTACAGAACTGTACTTATCCTGCATCAAAAAGGAAAAAACAAAAACACCAATACTTAGACATATATATACTTACACATATTGGTGTTCCAATATATAACAATTTCTGTTCAAAGATATTATAATATCATATTGTGGAACATAATGATAAATGTTTATTAAATTCAAATAATAAAATTAAAATTAAACTGTAATAATGAGAAGTAAACAAAAATCTCCATTCTTAATCCACATTCTTCCCGAGCTTCTATAAGGGCCAGGTCCCATGGCTCATGAACCAGGACTCTGAAAACTTGGTACCGGAGCTGGTCGAACTTGGTGGAGTTGCATCTTAAGTATCTAAATTAGCGAAAAACAAAGGAAAGGCCCCATGATTGAGACAAAGGAAAGGATAACCAAAAGGGATCTCAAAGTGAAGAATCCATGAAAAGATTGAAACAACAGCTGCAAGACTTTATGACCGAGATCTACAGCACAAATGATACCAAACTTGCTGAAAGATAACCTTAAATTACAGAATCTGCTGGTTGAAACTCTGCGCTCAATCAACACATACCAACCTCCTCCAACTCAAACTTACCATGAACCACCAACCTCACCCCTAGTGCAAGCCCAAAAGAGTTCCTTGCAGCATAAGGATCTGTTGAACCTGAAGTGCAATGGGACTGGGAGCTCTAGCCACACTCTAAATCACCCCAACATAGTCTTGGGCTACAACACTCCTCGAGTAGGCATTCCCGATGAAGCAACCCCAGCACATGGTTGAGACATTGCAATAAATATTTACAGCTATATGGCTCAACGACCAGAAAGTGGAGCCTGCTTCCCTGTGTGCTAAGGACAAACTCGAGATGGTTCTAAGGGTGGCAGTTGCAAAATAAGAACCATACAGATTGGATAGCATTCGGAGAAGAGATATCTTGAAGGTTTGGAATCCCATGGTGGCTGATACCGTATAGGAATTCAATAAACTCATACAGGAAGACTGAATTTGACTTTTTCTTTTCAAATTCTTTTCACAAATATTGTCCCATACCTTGGCCACAATTTATCCAATCTTATCACAAGTTATCACATTTTCCATCACATTACATCCTATCACATTTCAATTCATCGTATGACACCATTTTCAGAACCAATGAAAGGGGCTCTAGGTAGAAGGGTAACTCCAACTACAACAATGAATAGGCGCACACATTTTCACATTGAATGACTTATAAACATCAGAAAGTAGAGTATCATTTGCAAGTGTGAACACTACTAAAATACAATCTAGGGGGACTAGGTACTATTCTCTGTACCTGCTGTCGGTACTCTGAGAGGTGCTCTAGATACTGTTCCCTATACCTGCTGCCAGGACTCTGAGAGGGGCTCTAGGTACTGTTCTCTACCTCTCGTCTTGCTGCCTGAGCTCTGGTTGATTTCTTTTGTCGCGCACAAACGTCCTAGAACTTCCAGCTTGTCGGTGTCACTCATCTATTATCCCTTCTATTACTTGAGCCCTTCCCAGGATTTCTGGGTATGTGGTCAGTCCCAACATTGCCACCTCATCATGGATGTCCTCCCTCAGCCCTCTCTGGAATTTTCGGGCTTTTCCTTCCATCGTCAGCCACTATATCTAGTGCAAAGCAGCCCAATTCAATGAATTTCCTAGTCTATCATGCCACAGTCATGTTCTCCTGATTAAGTTTCAGAAATTCCAATTTTTTCTGGTCCCGGATAAACTCTGGAAAGTATTTAGCATTGAAAGCTTCAAGGAATCTTTCCCATCCCAGGTGGCTAAGAACTCCTCCTGTAGGCTCCACCAGTTCTCAGCTTCTCCCTCAAGCATAAAGGCAGCAAGTTGCACTTTCTGCTCGGATGTGACACCAATCACTTCAAAAAAATTTCAATCTTTCTCACCCATCTCTCAGCAACCATTGGATGAGGTCCACCTGTGAAGGTTGGAGGATTGAGCATCATGAACCTCTCAGTATTATTGGCATAAACTTCAGTCTGACTCTGATTATTGTTGTTGTTGATGTTGCTGTTGTGGTTGTTGGCTATATACTGACTCAAAACTGAAGTTAAATCCTCTATGGCTCGGAATAGCCAACCAAAATCACTTTGGCTAGGGCCTTGAGATGTTGGGGGTCTCCCCACTGAAGGACTCTTTGGTCTCATTGTTGTTTTCCTACACCCAAAAAAATTGATCAGGTAAATCTCAAAATATTCTATGTATCCCAAATTTTTATGGAAACATAAGCCTCATGCAAAAAGGAATGTTCTAGAACCGTGCTCCGATACTATCTTTTCGGACAACACTGCCACTGTGTATCAAAACACAGTAGCTTAGTGCACATAAATATAGATAATTATCATCACTTCACGTTACATATGCACAGTGGTTTACATATTGCATCCAAGCATGTTCTAATCATCCCTTTTTCAGAATTACAAAATACATGAAGCCCTAAATATTCAAAATGACCTTAGGGATTCGTCAAAGCCTAATGTCAAAAATATGGTCTTCCTAAACTATCCCTCACTAGTCTTGATCTGAAACGAATGTAAATTCGGGTGAGTTTCACTAATTCAGTAAATAACAAACAGTAATATAACAACAGTAAAAACATAGGAAATATATGATGAATAAAAACTTTAAAACGTAAACCCTTTCAAACAATTCAAAATATATTACACATAGGAAATCAATCTCTAACACTCGGCAATTTTTCAATTGTTTTCAAAACAAATAAAACACAGAAATTTTTTCATCACTTGGCCTCTATCTTTTAAAATTTACAACACAAATATTGTACCAATACCTTGGCCACAATTTATCCAATCTTATCATAATTTATCACATTTTCTATCATATCACATTTCAATTCATCGTACGACACCGTTTTCAAAAACAATATCAGGGAAGGCAGAAAGGTAACCCAAATACAATTACGAATAGCCCCACATATTTTCACATTGTCAATGCCAGTACTTCGCCAAGATGGAAACTTCACATTTCCCTCCACTAAATGGACAGGTAGACGTATTCTTTTATTCATAATGCGGGGGCACCAGAATCTTGCCAAATTTCAGCCACAAACTGAACAAACCCCTACGTGATAAATGGAAAAATCGGATCACATCTCTTCTAAGTGTCTTATGGCAATTTTCTGAAATAGTTTTGCTTAATCAAAATCACAATTATCGAACCTTTTTTAAAAACACCTTTCACCGTAAAAACTGAAATTTATCCAAACACTTCAAAACATTTACTTACTAAGTGGCATTATTACTAGAAGCATCCTTACCCATCTAAATCGTTTTTTTGAAATTATTTTCAAGACATCAAAAAATATCACAAAATCATCGGAAAACATCATAAAAATTAGAATTGAAGATCACCAATTTAGGGCCAGAAACATTCGTTAAAAACATGACACATTATCATGATGAAAACACTGCAATTTTCTTTTGGCCTTAAGAACAATTAAATTCACTACAATTTTTGAATGAGAACACTTCAAAAACAGAACTAAATTCATCCATTTTTGAGCTGAAAATTTTATCATAAACAGAATTTCCATACCTCCCAAAACATTCAACACCTTTTCATAGTCAAATTCTCCCGAAATCAATTCAAATATGACTTTTCTTTTAGCATAAGAACTATCAAAACCTTTAAGTTTTTAAAAAGGAATTAACCACAAAATCAGAAGCTAAATTGCCAATTTTCTTGGCTGGAAAATTTCCCAAAATTAGAAATTTTTCACACCCTCAAAATAACAACATTTTCTTGGGTTGGAAGCAATCTAAAACATCTCTTTTCTAACCTTTTAAATACCTTCGTTTTTGGCCTAAAAACCAGCCATCTTTACTTGGATTTTTAGGACCCCAATTTCAGGTCTGAAATTTTTGTATATAAAACATAAACAATTTCCCGTCAAACAGTTAACTAGATCTCACCCAAAACAAGTTCCATTCCTTATTCAAAACAAACATATTTTCCAACACCAAACATAATCAAATATTTGCAAAGATTATAAGACCAACATATACTAAAAATAGAGACAACAACATCAAAATTTACTCTAAAATACATCACCAAAAACTAAATTAAGTTTCACCAAACAGCAGTTCCTCAAAAGCAGAAAACATGTATCTCAAACAGTTGCAAAATCAGTGTGAATTTGCATATTAAATTACCACAAGCCACTTACCTTTATCCAAGCTTAAACACCCTAAACCAGTAGCAAAAAATCTCACCATTTTCCTTCCCAAAATTTCCATAACACCTGGTTCTTAACCTGGAGAAAAATATTTCCATTACTGTCAGCCTAGCTTCTCTGATTTGGCCAACTTTCTACCTAATTTTTGAATTATTTTTTATTAGTTCTTTCCTCCTAAAATTACTACATTCCCTTGCCTAATGTCACATGGAATTCCTCAAAAAAAATTCCAAACAAACTGAAGTATATATACCTTAAAAACTCACAAACAGTCGGCCTGCTTACCTTCAGGTTTCTGGTTAAGCACCTTCTGTTTTCTTGAGTTTTCTCCTAGCTTAGAGCAGCTTTTTGCTTGCTTTTTTCTCATAAAATCAACACAAAACCTTGCTCATCATGTTAGGAAAATTTCCTCTTAAAACCAGAGAGGAATTCGACCTACTTATCTCAAGAAAATCACCTGAACAAAAACTGCTCTCCCCAGCTTCCTACAGCAGGAACCCCTAGGGTGCCTTTTAACTTTCTTTTCTCTCCCTTCCTTCTTTCACTTGTTTCCTCACTAGCTCCCTCAGTTTGCTCTTCTTTTTCTCTCAAGTTTTTCTCTCTTTTACTCGAGTTTTCCCTCTTTCTTCTCCAGCTGCTCAGCTGGCTCCCAGTTTTCACTCTCTCTCGCGTTGCCCTCTGGTTTTCTCTCTTCCTTCTGTCTTTTCCTCGAGTTTCTTCTTCCTCTTCAGTTCAGATGCCTTTTTTATACAGTGGAGAAGCAGCAAATCAGGTTTGGACACTCCTCTTTCACTCTCAACCCTTGAATCACATGCGATTGATCCCAACCCTTCATTTTTTTCTCTTCTTCCTGGTTGGCCAACTGGCCACATCCCTCTTCTGCTTGTGGCCAACCAAAGGTCCTTTTCTCAGTCCCTTTCTCCCTCTGGTGGCCGACCAGAAGTGACGGATCTCCTCTCCTGTGTGCCTAAGTGGGTAAATCTCCACCCTTGATTCCATTTGGTCTCCTCCCATTCATGTAATCTAGACCCTTCGTTAATCCACCTCATCCTTTCCATGTGGCCAGCAACGCTGGCCATTTCCTCCTCTTATTTGACACCTCACATGTTGTGGTGTCCTACTATTTTTTCCAATTCATCACCAATTGGGCCTAATTGGTGATGTGACCCAAACATCCACTCAAAGGCGTACACTAGGTTTCCAAGTTCCTAACTTTTTCCTAGGTAGCTCAATTGTCTTCCAATTTGTCCAATGAGTGTCCAAGTGTCCCAATAAGATTGGTTAAGGCCATTTGGCATTGCGGATACCTCATTTAGCATGGAGAAAAAAATTTCTCCTCTTGTAGGAAAATTTCCTCCCAGTTGAGGGGGGTGGAGGGGGGAGAACCCTAAATTCATTGTTTTTCTCTTCCACAAAATTTTTCTCTCATTCTCTTGGGAAAAGTTTTCCTCTTTTCTATTGAAATTTCAGAATTTCCCATTT